GTCCCAGGCTCTGTGGTTTAACCCACAGCGCCAAAAGGTTGGGACACAAATTTTCACAGCCCTGTAGCAGTTATGGTGGCTCATTTACCAGAAGTAATGTATTTAGTGTTGACTCTGGAAGTGTATACTTGATTCTGACCCAACTAAGCCTCCTAGAGCACAATATACATGGCATGCCTTTTCAGCTCTCCTAATCCACTATCACTGATTCTGCTTTTCACACACCATTATAGCATGTAGATATTGTGGAAATATTCTGTTCAAAGATGAATAGAACCATTATAAGGCTGCAATATTATGGATACCACATGGAATTATATTGGCAGGGCAGTGTCCAAAATATGCACTTATAGGCCCGATGAGTCCAATATAAACACTGGGCTTCCATAGCTCATCGGCTGCCCGGTGGTGCCTGCAAACTCCTTCTTGGCCCAGCATTGTCTTTAACGGAGGTGTGTTCCTAGGGCCTGGTTATAGCTGGGCGGTGGATGGACTGCTTCATCCTGGGGCTGGGCCTTTGGGCCTCTTTGCTCAGAAAACATCCCTATGATGTTTCAGCTACTTGAAGTTGCTGTTCTGAATGCAATGGCAAAAGTGTGGTAATACAGTGGTACCTCGGGTTAAGTACTTAATTCGTTCCGGAGGTCCGTTCTTAAACTGAAACTGTTCTTAACCTGAAGCACCACTTTAGCTAATGGGGCCTCCTGCTGCCGCCGCAGCACGATTTCTGTTCTCATCCTGAAGCAAAGTTCTTAACCCGAGGTAATATTTATGGGTTAGCGGAGTCTGTAACCTGAAGCGTATGTAACCTGAAGTGTATGTAACCTGAGGTACCACTGTAGCCAGTTTTCCTGACCTACATGACAAAGAGAAGGAACGTTGGCAGCGGCAGCAGCACATTAAAAAACAGGATGTGAAATACAAAAGATTTAGCATGAATTCCCCCACCCTGCAATATTTGTTTGGCATGACAGAAGCTGACAACACTGCCTCAGTAGCACTTGGAACAGTGAAATGTAGCTGTCGTTCCCTACTTTTATGATTCCCCAGGGCTGCTCTGCCATTAGACAAAGTGAGGAACCAGCCTCAGGCAGCAGATTCTGGAGAGCAGTCAGTGGCAGAGATATGTTAGGGGAGAGTTGTGTTCCCTTGTGCTAATTTGCTGCCTTAAGGTGTGGTGGAGAATGCTGTCCCACTGCCAGTGTTGAAGTAAGATTCAGCTGTCAGTCTGGTCAGCTTCAGTATAGGCAAAGTGGGCTGGGCACCATCTCAGGCAGCAAAATGTCTTAGGCCAGCCCTGAGAGTCTTTTTATTATCTACCAATATGTCTTTGCATTAAGCATCTAACAAAGATTTGGCTAGATGTATCCATCTAGTGCAGGTTTAGCAGCTCATCCCTATTTTTACCGCACTCAGAGACCGATCCCATCAATTCTAGGGAGAATTGCCTCAGCTGGGGTTTCAGAGTGATGTTTAATTATGCCTTTGTGGAATGACAAGTGTTTTTTTATTTATGTTTATATAACACTGGGCTGGGCAAAAGTCCAATAAGACAAGAGAAACAAGAAGTCAGTGTAATTCGCTTAGAGTGCCTAGATCTTACCAAGGAAAAGAAGCCAAAATACCTAAATTGTTCTTTTCTTATAAGCACACAAATGACTCCTTTGTGTCTCATACAGTGTTGTAAGCATTTCCCTGGATCAAGTTAGTGGGTACAACTCTCCAATGTGTCTTGGATTAGAAACAGAAGTGTTAGAGCTTATCCAGACAATCAGTTGAAAGCTTGCCCTTACCACATGTTAGCTTTTGCCAAATGGTCCAGTGAGCAGCTTGATTTAAAGGCAATAATGTGACATTCAGTCTGCATCCTTGATACCAAGATGGATAGCAAGACTGTGGCCTCCGGCATACATGGAAAAAAAATGTCACCTTTCTGATAAAGGGGGCTAATTTGCCTGAAGGGGAGCATTGCTAAAGGCTCTGTTACTCAAACTCTATCGGATGTGGCTTCCATAGAGGATAAGGGTGTTGCTACCAGGAACCCTGTGAAAGGCAGGAGAAATATTCCTAAGCGGCAATATATGTTGGCATTCCCAAGACCTCTATAACCGAGAAAGAGAGAGAAAGAAGGCTGGAAATTTTAACAGCAATTAGCTGGGAGAACTGGGAAACCAAAATCATAATTTGAATAAAAATAACCACAAATGTTTCTAAAGTTCATCATTTTGTTATCTCATTGATCAATCAATGAATCACCTTCTGGGTCCAAAGTTGGATCACTGAGCTTTGAACACCAGAAGATGCATAACTGGCAAGTGTAAACATTGAATGAAGTAAACGTGCTGTGTCCTGTCGTTCATGTGTTTGAACAGGTTTTGAGCTCTTTATGGTAAGTGCACAAGCTACCCATGGGCTTATGATATGCTTGCCTTGGAATATGTACCAAAACAACAACTCAGGCATAAATTCTATTCTATACATACCCATCTCCAGTAAGCTCCACTGAACACAATGAGACTCATTCTGAGTAAACATATATAGGATTGTACTGTCAGTGTTTTCTAAAAATAAATGTATATGAATTTCCCCCTTGACATATTGTTTTATTCCTGGAGAAGTCTTACACTCCAAATGCAATGTGATTAAGATAAAAAAACCCCACAATTTTCTAATTGAATAATTAAGTAGAACTGGTGGACTTTCTTGATTCAGCTTGTGGCTGGGTTTAAAACTCGCCAGCATGCAGTCCACACTGTTGTTTCTGAAGAATAAAGGCAAGATCAGCATGCCGGTTAGTTGTGCTCATCAAAATTTCCCCAAGATGTTGGCAGTAAGTTATAAGGTAATCCTGCCACTTTACTTATGCTGCTTTAACCTTGACAGAGTGCTGAAGTAGCCTCTGGCAGCCTATGTGCAGAGGAAGTGTCTCCATTTACAGTTGCTGAAAGGTGATTTTGACACTGCAGAAAAAAAGTTTAGTGTAATGTGTAAGTCAACATTTTTCAAAAGACTATAAGGAAGTATATGTTTGAGTCAACATGTTTCAACTCTGAAAAATTAAGGCCCAAGTACACATTACACAGAAAAGCATGTAAAACCATGGGCATAGCCAAGGGAGGGGCAGGGGGTGTCCTCCCCAAATCAATAAAAATAAATATAAATGCATAGCAAACTGAGATTCTACCCCCCCTAACAAAAGGTCTGCCCCCCAACAAAAATCCTGGCTACGCCCATGAACCAAACCTACCCATTGATTCTCTTCCTCATTCCCCCGCTCCAAAAAGGAAACTTCAGGAGAGGGCAATCTGTAGTGGAGGAGGATGGGGAAAGGGTGAAGCAGCTCTTCTCCGTCATACTGCTTCTCTGCTCTAAATTGATCACTCCCAAAACTGGCTTTCCCCAAAAAACAACAACAAAAGGCATTAAAATGTGGCTACATGTGTAACATGTCAGACCTCAATAAGTGTGTAACATGCAAGCCTTATTAACTGATAATTATCACCAATATATCCAAAAAGCTGCCATTTCTATTGTTATACTATACAGGAAGCAATACAAAAGGCATTGTAGATGTAGCAATAGTGTGTGTGTGTGTGTGTGTGTGTGTGTGAGAGAGAGAGAGAGAGAGAGAGAGAGAGAGAGCGCAGCGTTCTCCATCCTTGATTCCCCAGCTCAGAAGATGTTGGACGTTGTCTAAGATTATTTGGGGATGATGAGGAGAGGAGAGGGGGAAATATATTATTACATTCCCTAAAAGGTTATGAATTACAAATATTATTTTTGTAGCTAAAGTTATTAAAAAAGATAACCCTGAGTAGTTTATCTTAAGTTCAATGCATGGCGGTTGCGTTGTAGAGACAGACTTAGTTTTTTAGTAATTTCTTCATTCACATCACACAAACCCTGTCACCAGTCTGATTCACACATGGATATTAATCACTTAAATCTTATGGACTGCAACATCAGCTGATGACTTTCGGATAGAAGTGTCTGTCAATTTTGGTTCTCTCCATTTCTCATTTTTCCAGTATTAAAGACAGTTCTCCATATTTCTGCAGCAATTTGCATATATATATATATATATAAATCTTCATGGAAATTCTTCAGAATTTTAGTGCAAATATCTCCTAATAAATACATTACATACACATTTTGACAAACAATTTCCCCTAATAAAAGGCACCCCTGTGTGTTATCTTCATTAATATATTGTTATGCACACTTCCCCAATATATGCTTTTCTTTCAAAACAAACAAACCCACCATTGTTTGGTTGGAGAGCTTTACTGCACAATTAATATTAGTGCAACTTTTGAAGGGCTGCTGTGTTTCAGTTCTCACATTGTTCCAAAAAGTGCAAATCAGTTTCCTTAAATACAAACTGAGTTGGATTTCTCCCCGTCCCTACTTGCAAGTGTGAATGGGCCATCGCCAGACATAACTGTTCAGATCACCTCCATCACCTCATAAAACATTGCAGTGCTTCTCAACGTTACACTTCAGATATTCAGTTGCCAATCATTAAGTCTAATTTATTTATTCATTTCCTTAACTTTCTGCATTTAGCAGAGATGGTTCTTCCATTCCACTTTCCCCTCACAACCAACCTGTGAGGGGGGGGGGGCTATGCTGAGAGATAGAGACTGATTGGTTCAACCTGAGCTAGAGTTGTAGAGACGGAAACAAACGCCACGGAGTCGAGTTGAGTCTGCGCCTGGGCTCCTTCGTCCCATATAAAACATAAATAACACATTTGAGGGGGTCTGCCCCCCAAAGTTGATGGACATTGCCATAGAAATGGTCACGTGTATCGCATCATGGGATCAATTACTTGCCCCACCCCGAATATTTCATTCAAGTTGGCACCCCTGATCGCAGAAAAGTGCCATGGAGGGCTAGTCTCTCTCTCTCATCGTTTGGGTAACGATGGGGACCCCAAACCTGCCACCCTCCCTACACGTGGCCGTTGTTATGACTGCTGGCTGTTTCCCAGGCTGGGCTGAAGGAGAGGTCTCTCAGTGGATCGCTTGCCCCCCACCCGCCCCTTTGCCTCCCCGGACTCCGTCTCCGCAATGTAGGCTGCGGCGGCGTCCCCGCCTGGATCCTGCGAGGCTGGCGGCCGAGCGGCAGGGGGTGTCTTCGCTGCCTCCGCCTCCTCCGCCTCGCCGCTCCTTTCCCTTTTCTGCGCCCTTCGGGCCAATCGGCGCAAAACAAAGGCGCGCAGGAGGAGCGGAGGGAGGCCCATCTCCGCCTGCCCTTCCCTCCCGGGTCAGTGGCTCCGCGCGCCGTAAACAAACGCAGCCCCGGGGTCGCCTCGTGCGCGCTGGAAGGGAGCCCAGGCAGGATGGCCAAGAGCCGGGCTGCCAACCCAGCGATGGCCGGGCTCGTCTTGGCGCTCTGGTCCCGCTGCTGCTCCGCGGATCCTCGGGTGGCTGGTTCTCCGGACGAGTCCCAAGCGCCGGGGCTCAGCCTCCATCCGCCCTACTTCAACCTGGCGGAGATCGCCAAGATTTCGGCGACCGACACCTGCGGCCAGGACGAGAGCGGGAGGCCTCGCCGAGAACTCTTCTGCAAGCTGGTGGGGGGCCCCGCCGCTTTCCCCGCGGGGAAAAACATCCAGGTAACTCCGGGTGAAGCGGGTGTGAGTTAAGTGGGGATCGACTGAGGGATCAGTGGCATGGATCCTCCAGTCCAGATCATTAAATGCGGACAAATTAACTCATTCTGTACCTGTGCAGCCACTCTGGTCTCCTAACATGATGTACCCCTTAATCTAGACTGAACAGCATAGCATCAGGATAGTTAATGAATTGGCAGAAGGTTGCATCTCTTCCGCGGGCGCCTCTCCTTCCGCCAGTGCTTTACGCGCAAGCTGCATATTTTAAATCAATAGTTGCCAGCTTTGTTTTACCGGCATCGTTAACCGCTTGACACCTGTACACGACAGAAATTTAACAGGTGCAGCTTTCCCATCGGATCTCTGTGCAGCAGAAAGATGCACCAGTTGAATTCCTGTCTTTCTTTGATAGATTAAAGGCACAGGAACTGTGTAGGGGGGGGAAAATATTCGGGGAGGGAGTACTCTCCCCTATGTATAGATAACCTGGATTAGATACCCCCTGCCTTCACTGCCGTCTTTTCATGATCCAGGTGCTGACACTTTGGAAATGTTTGGGTGTTTCCATAAGTTCAGTACATAATTATGATTGAAATGAGGGCCAAAGTAACTATTATTCTTTGGATCTATCTCACCCACAGTCTGTCAAGTAGAGTACAAGGGTAGGCTCTTGTGCATGTGCTGAAGTTTACTGGTTAGGAATACAGAAGGAAGTTATAGTGGTAGTTAACTCATCCATTGCAGCTTAGAGATGCTGCTTCACCACTTAAAAATGGGGGAAACTGCTGTACTGGCAGGAAAGTGTCCTTCAGGATTTCTGAAGGAAGTGCTGAATAAAAGGTCCTCTTAACAGTTGGTGGCCTTCCTTCCATAGAAAAGACTGCATATGCCAATTGTGTAGGGCATTCCCAGGGACCTCTGCAATATATACAAGCTGCCCTTCCACTTTCTCTGTGCCTGTCCTAAGATGACACAAGAAGAGCTCTGCTGGATCAAGTCAAATACACATCTTGTCCAGAACTGTTCACATAACTTACAGAAATAAGACTAGTTACAGATAGGTAGCCGTGTTGGTCTGCCATAGTCAAAACAAAAAATTCCTTCCAGTAGCACCTTAAAGACCAACTAAGTTAGTTCTTGGTATGAGCTTTCGTGTGCATTCAGTGTATCTGAAGAAGTGTGCATGCACACGAAAGCTCATACCAAGAACTAACTTAGTTGGTCTTTAAGGTGCTACTGGAAGGAAGAAATAAGACTGATCTCCTACACTTTATACCTGTCAATGTTGAAGGAAGCCCTCTTTGTAGATCTCTGTTACTCTCCTCATTGACCTGCCTTCCATCTGGTATTGTTGTGTCAGTATTATGATATGCTAATCTGTTGGCAAGGCAAGGAGAAGACCTATTCTATTCATGTCCTGTTTGGGTGGGGGGCTTCCCATAGGCATCTGGTTGGCCACTGTGTGAGAACAGAATTCTGGACTAGATTGGGTTAAAGAAAATGCTTCCTCACCCCCTGCTTTGACAGTAGCTTCTAGGATCTTGTCTGTGTGAAGATAAGAACAGTAAATTCTAACCAAAAAATGATATATTACAATGTGCACCATTAGTTCTGCATGTACCTTACAATGGCATATGTGAAGAAATGTGCCAAATGATTGCCAAGCCAAATCCCTATTTGTCATGTCTGTATTTGATTCCTATCTATTTTTAACTGACTCTAAATGCTCACCAGAATCAGTTTAATTTGCATATTTTAAATCAATTAACATACAGTATATGCAGAACAGCTTTACTGTGCAATCATAACCATCTCTACCCAGAAGTAAGTCCTTTTGAATCCAGTGTGTCTTAATCCCAGGTAGGAAGAGCTAGGATTGTAGACTAAGCCTTCTTTATTTTGTGAGCGAGATGACAACCCCTCTTAGAGCTAACCTGCACCACAAATTTTATATGACTACAGGAAATTAGAGGCTGAGGAGTCTTCTGAGGGGCAAATTTGAATGCTGCAGACTACCTGATTTTAACATTAAGAGGTTTTAGAAGCAATTACAATCATTTAGGCAGAAGCAAATCCTAACAGGTGAATTAAGCCAAAGGTACTGTTTCTGTGGTATTGTTTCCTTTCACCCATTTATGAAGTTAAAACCCTGTGGTTTAGTTGTGAATTGATATAATTCTACAGTTAGGTATGACAGCAATAGTGAACAAGAGAATTCCTCTTACTTTAACATTTGTTGCAGAGATTCTGGGTGAGAGGTCACCTGCGATTTGTGCTTGATCCAAGCTCCCGGAAGGATTACTGATAGATGTGCCCTGGCACAAGAGTACATGTTGTGTGCTGCTTACAGAATTTGTAGAAATGTGCATTCAGCAGCTCCTCTCTCCTGTTTCTAACAAAGCCTCATTGAGACACATAGCAGAAATATTTCTGTAGTTTACCAGTCATCTTTTTGGTTCAAGGGGGGTTCCAAATTCTTTCAAAAGGCTGGGGAAAGCAGACCTGGGAAATGTGATAACAGCACAGTGCATATGCGATCACACTGCCCCAACCCTCGAATTCAAAGTTAAGGAAGAGAGTTTTTATGGACACCATATTTCAAATACCTATGAAATGGGAGAAGGCTTAAACAAACATGCTCACATCTATTCATGTCTGCAGTATAAAAGAATGGAGAGAGTGAATGAACATATTCAGATAATCATAGATGTAAGATAGAGAACTTTAGCAACAGGAAATATCAGTTAACTGGAAAGGCTGTACTTGCTCCACTGTGCCCTGCACTGTGTTAGAAGTATGAATGGGGCTTGACCTTGTACTTTGGTGTGGGTTTGTGCCCAGAAAAGAAGGTCTCCTGCAAACAACAACAACAACACAAAGGTAGCAGCATAAGGGGGGGTGGGACAACAACCAACCAAACTCCAAAACTCACAACTGGCCAATACCTATTTTAAGATCAACCAAAAGGTCACAAAGTGTGGCAAACTTTTTGAGTTCTGTGTAACTCTTCAAGCAAGATATTATACAAAGCAGGAAGTGAGGGAGACAAGGACACTTAACATTCAAAGGATGTAATTGCTCTGGCAGATCCACAGCCCTCAGGTAACTTGGAGAGAATTCTGAGTGAGGTTTCAGAATATCCAAGTTGCTTCCAAAGTTTTATTATTTATTCCTTCCCTAATGAAATAAGGCAGGCACTGACTTGGGTGAGTACCTGCTGAAAATTTGTTGGCTGCTGACATTTTTAGCTTGGTATCTATATTGCCTCACGGTGGAGGTCATTTTATTGTGGTTTTAAATATTTCAAACGTGTGATTGCTTTATATTATGTTTACATCTGGTATCGCCCAGATGAAGAATGGTATATGAGTATTTAAAATAAATACATGTACAAAGGTCACTTTCAGGAATCCTACAAGGCAGCTGATTTGTTTCCCAACATCACATTCCCAGCTCTTCATCACTGAGATGTATTCAGGCTGCAAACATCTCTAAATCCTCTTTATGTTTCTGCCTCTTCAAAAATGCAAATAGCTCTTTCTATGCATGTGCACTGCCCTCCCCCTTTCCTCCATTTAATGGTACATGTATATGACTTTCTCCAAGCTTTTTGGGCTATCTCATTGAAACATGAGTTATTCCCAAATATACCCTAAGCCTTCACTCCCATTGCGAAAACCATCTTGTGCTATTAACCAGCAATCTACCTGACAGATGGAAGGGCAACCCAGTATCCTGTAACCTCAGAGCTATATTCAGTTCTTTCTCTACTACCACCCTACACACAATTAACTTCACTCAAAGGGGAGAGCGATGATAAGCCCTCTCCCTCTTGTACTCGTCCCCTTTCCTGCAGCATCCCCTCTCCCCTATTGAGGAGTGAAACATCTGCAGTGGCGAGTATGTTGTACTTGTTTAGACTCCTCACATTATTTAGAACCCTGGAAAGATGTGGTTTCTAAATGGGCCAGGGAGTCTATCCAAGTGCAGCAGACTCTCTTCAGCAGAAACTCAGCTCCCAACAGGTATATCCAATAGGATAAAGTAGAGGGACAACCCAGGTGTCATTATGGTTTTGACCCTAGATGGGCAACATAGCTATGAGTGTTGTGCTTAGAGCTGGACTGGAATTTCCAACAACACTATGTTTGAGAAGATCATTTCCTACATGTTCTGTTTATGCCCTGTATAGACTACTCCTGTAGAAGGTACATATGCAGCCATACTTCCAATCTTCCATAGGCTACATTACTTTTTGTACTGAGAATAATTTTATATACACAGTCATGGAAACGCTAGAAGATGTGCGTTTTGAGGTGACTTGTATATGCAGAGCTGCTTTGATGAGTCATGGCCCAGATCCAGGCAATACTCCCAATCTCCTGGAACTGAGACATTGTACCAGGCAGGCTGCATTGTGGAATGCCTTTCTGCAGATACTGCCCGTGTAGAGCAAAAGGAAAGGTTTGCCCGGCAACTTATTTTCCTTTAGCTTCCATCTGCCATCTTCGTTGGCAGCTCTTGTGGAATGTACTTTAAATAACTGAGATGCTTGCTGCTCCAGAAGAATTCACTGACGTACATTTAGAAACATTATTAAACTTGTCCTCAGAACTCCAAGTGACCTAGTTAAGTTGAAATGGCTCTCTTGTGGCCTAATCTTCAGTAACCTGGCAAAAAAAGCCTGTCCAGTTTGACCATCAGCAGAGGGGGGAAAGGATGGAGAACCTCCATCCCCAAATCCAATTTGTTTACTTTGTTTTCTTACCACTCCTTTAAATACTTCCACTTGCCACTTCTCTTCTCCTAGAGGGGAGGCCATTGCTGTGTGCCAAACCATTGCAGCCTAATGTTTTCGTGTTGTCCTGTATTTTTTCAGACCTGATGATCCTCCCTAATAAAATTCTCCATCTGGTGCAGAAAAACTTCATGCAACTGTCCTTTTATTGAAAAGCTTCCTTCTTGCCTTGCTTCTTGTTTGGTGTGCCTGGAAGTTTAGTGAATTGCCCTTTAATTAGTGCACTACTATTCCTTGTGCCTGGAAGTAACGTGTGTAAAAATTGGTGGATTTTGGCCATGGGCAAGGGTGTTGTTAGATAATATAACACTTTATCAGGTGCCATCTAGAGCCATCGTTTTAATTCTGCTTTTAGCTGATTGTTGAAAAGCGCTACCTTGGCTAGATCTTCCAACTTCCTAGATCTTTAACCATTAGTGGTCAAGTTCAAACTGTCGCATTGATCATTACATCTTTTTGTTTTCTTCTCTTTCAGGGCCAGTTTTGTGACTATTGCGATGCCGCTGATCCCAACAAAGCTCACCCAGCAACCAATGCTATAGACGGGACAGAGCGCTGGTGGCAAAGTCCTTCTCTCTCCTTAGGTTTAAAGTATGATGTGGTCAACATTACTTTAGATCTAGGACAGGCAAGTACAGGTGTTGCTTTCCATGTTGTTGACTTTGACATTTTCCCTTGTCTGTTGTCTATGCATGGCCCAAAGTATGATGGGAGCTGTTTAGCATTCAAAGAGCTAACCGCCAGTCTCTTTTTGCTCCCACTTCTCAGGATAAAACCCATTTTTATGTAATGAGATGTGCATGCCTTTAAGATTCCAGATTGAGTAACTCTTAATTATTTCTGGATGCTGAGCTCAACAAGAATTCCATCAACAACTTTTCCCTACTACTGGCCATTGGAGATTCTACTCTATAATCAAGGAGCTCTGGGTCACAGTGTCTGACCTCAGTTATCAGTCCTTGATATGAGGTTATCAATTAGTGATGTCCATGACATTAATAAAACTGTTACGCTAGTTAAACATATTCAAAATAGCACTTGTATTGAGATTATGAAACTTTATCAGTGAATCAGGTGACTAATCCCTTTAAAGGGGGTTGCTAGTTGACTAAAAATCTTTAACCATAGGTACTACGCCCTCTCTATTTACTAAATTATGTTTTATGCCAAGTAAATCATAGAATTGTAGTCCAATCTCCTGCAATGCAGGAAATCCTGCCCACAACCACCAACCTTATGCTTAAGAGCCAGACCCACTGACCCACTGTGCCTCAGGAGGGCTTTATGTAATTGAATAGTGTGGTTACTCTGTTCTAAATTACCAATGAAATGGATACAGAGAGAAAATTAGTTGCTGCTACTTTGTTGTTCAATGAGTAGATGATATTGTTTAATAATTCAACTGCTGAAGACTTCACTAGATCAGAATGATTTACTGCGGGGATTTCCTGCAGCTTCAGAAACTCCAGGGTGCATGCAGGCTCCCACTACCCACAAGGCTGCTTTGTTCAACTGAGGTAGTGGCAGCTCTGTGCAGGCATGGAGAAGTAAGAGACCTCTGCTTCTTCCCCTTATGGGAGAAGTAGCATCCCAGCTTGTCCATAGAGTTACCTATCTTTCACCTGAGAGAGAAGACCCTCCTCGCATGCTCCTTCTAGGAAGGTGTAGAGAAACATCACTGGTCCCCAGTGTGGTATCTTTGTGATATTAGTAAAAAGGTAAAGGTACCCCTGCCCGTACGGGCCAGTCTTGACAGACTCTAGGGTTGTGCGCCCATCTCACTTAAGAGGCCAAGGGCCAGCGCTGTCCGGAGACACTTCCGGGTCACGTGGCCAGCGTGACAAAGCTGCATCTGGCGAGCCAGCGCAGCACACGGAAACGCCGTTTACCTTCCCGCCAGTAAGCGGTCCCTATTTATCTACTTGCACCTGGAGGTGCTTTCGAACTGCTAGGTTGGCAGGCGCTGGGACCGAGCAACGGGAGCGCACCCCGCCGCGGGGATTCGAACCGCTGACCTTTCGATCGGCAAGCCCTAGGCGCTGAGGCTTTTACCCACAGCGCCACCCGCGTCCCATCTTTGTGATATTAGCAGCCGTTAAATAAATTACCGCACTCATTTTTCAGACCTAACTTCATATTAAGGAAAGAGGTAAAATTCTGTGGCGTTAAACAGATCCAAAAGCAGAAAGTTGAGAATGACTCTAAGCATATGGGAATGGGCAACAACCAATTCAGCTGCTATCAAGAAACATAACTGAGTTCTTAGCTCCTTCCTTCCTAGACTGCGGAAACAAACCATAGAGTGAACGGCTTAGCATTAAGTGAGAACCAGAGCTTGTGATTTGTTTTCTCAAACAAACCATGAATAGGAAGGCAAAAACGAACCTTGGCTTCCAATTGTGGTTTCTTTGGAGAGAAAGAAGTGTAGCTTCACACATAATGCTCAGCTGGCCACATTCTGGTTTATTTCCCTACTCTAGGAAGCCAAGCAGGGAGTGATTGAACTGTCTGTGTAGCAGCTCGCAGCTCTCACACAGTTTAATTTCTCTAACCATGGGTTGTGGCCAGTGTTAGGTGTGATTGAAGCCAGTGAACAGATGTCATGAGCTGGCTGTGGATGACAGTTCTTGGGGTGAAGTGTCTTTCACTATCAATCTGATTTAGGATCAGTAGTTTTTGCTGTCTGCTGTACAAGCCCATGAGTCTTTGCTTAGGTATCTGTAAACAGGCCAAGCAACAACAATGGTAAGCGTAGTAACAAGTGTGCTTAACAATACACTTTGGAAGCTTTGTAAACTAGCGTATTCCCAATACACAGAAATTCTATAGAAATATTGACAGCCAAGGAAGCATTTCCTGTCTTTCAGTGTACTTTCACTATAAGAAAGCAAATACCAAAGATGTTGTTCCACACTGGTTCTCACCCATTAAAAAGAGCTAAAATCTTACACTGATTAGGTAAGTAGGAAGGAAGTCACTGAAAGCAAATAGGAGGAACATGTCATTCAAAAAGTGTTTGATTTTGTTTGCAGTTGCTTTCCTCTCATTGTGCATATTAAATGACTGATTTATAACGGAGCTAATGAATACCAGCAATGCAATCACAATGTTTTCCCCTTAGCATGGGGGAAGTGAAAAAAAGGCAGGCTGGCACAGCTAAGTTCAGTAATCTGGATGAACTCCAAACCCAGCATGGACTCAAACAGCACAGCAGGGACAGTTTGAGCAACAGTAGCAATAGCTAAGAAAGAAATTTGGACTTTAATAGCTAGTCCTCTATTATCCCTCTTGCTGTTGCTTTGGGGACATGGGTAGGCAAAGTGGTGCTCGCTAGATGTTGTTGGACTGCAAATCCCATCACCCCTGACCAATCCTTTTTTTCTAGCCAAAAAAGATGGCGGAATGCACCTCCCTCAGGAAGATCCACCCCAGAGCCCTAGAGGGGTTGGGCTTGGGGGGTGGGTGTCTCCTCATGTGCCGGAGTCTTGTTGAGGCTGCTCAGCTGAGGCCAGGGGAGCCTTCCACACCTCAGCTGAGCACCTTAAGGAGACCCACCTCATCTGGCTTGCATGAGCTGGAAGCAGCTGAGAGGCAGAGAGGCTTCTGTGCCTCAGCTGGACACCTTAATTGTCGGAATTGGGGGGACGTGTTTTGAAAGGCCAGCTGGCTTGGCCCCAGCTGGAGCGCCTCCCTTAAGCCTTGCTGCTGCAGAGATCCCTCGACCTCTGCTCCAACGTGATCAGTGACTCAAGCTTGCAGACTTGAGCATACTTTACTAAGCAGTGTAAACTGCACAACAGAAGAGGCATGAGGCTGTAGACACATACTAAACTACACATTTATTATACATAAATCAGGACAAAGAAAACATGTGATCTCTCCTTGCCGTCTTCTCGGAGAGAGACTAAAAACAAAAGCAATACAGAGCAGAAGTTCCGCTCACGCCAGCAAACTGTGCTGGAATGTAAACAGACATGTGACACGCAACAATCCCATTTCTGCAACAAAAGGTGGAATGGAATCCCAACATTAATGATCTCCCATCCTCCACTTCTCTGGCTTGTGCTTTCCATCAGCTGTTAGCTAGGAGACTTAAGAGCCTCAGCAAAGCCCTGCTGCGCCTCTGGCTTATGAAGAGACCCTCTCTAGACCCATACGGTACGTCCCCTTAGGGCTCTGAGGAGGGTCTTCTCGCGAGCTGGGGCTTTGTTTAGGCTTGTCAGGTCAGGTCTACTCCTGGCGCCCAGCTGAGAGGTGCTGGAATGCCCTTCTGGTGTGTTCTGGCTAAAGCCCCCCCCCCCCGACCAGTGCCATATTCACTGGGGCTGATGGAAGTTGGAGTCCAGCAATATCTAAAGCATGGGTAGGCAAACTAAGGCCCGGGGGCCGGATCTGGCCCAATCGCCTTCTAAATCTGGCCTGTGGGCGGTCCAGGAATCAGCGTGTTTTTACATGAGTAAAATGTGTCCTTTTATTTAAAATGCATCTCTGGGTTATTTGTGGGGCATAGGAATTCGTTCATTTCTCCCCCCCTCAAAAAAAATATAGTCCAGCCCCCCACAAGGTCTGAGGGACAGTGGACCAGCCCCCTGCTGAAAAAGTTTGCTGACCCCTGATCTAAAGGCACCACATTGTCTCCTCTGAGGAAAGTGTACATGTTGTCGACTTTGTTGTCCTGTATTTCTCTGAATTTCTATGGTTCATTATTGAATTACTTAGTTAGATTAACTACTGAAATATTGCTGTCTATTTATTAGCTGAATTGCCATTAAGAAGTTGGTATGATTCTGAACCGCATGATTTATTGTTCAGATATTTGTTTTATTGTGTTTATACTGATCGTAATTTTGAAAACTTTGCTTTGGTTGTGTTGTAATTTTTTGTCAGATGCTTTAGACTTGTGTTCAGAAGGAAAAGCAGAGGTCTTCAACCTCAGGCATTGAGACTTAATGTGGCCCTCTAGGCTCCTCCGTCTGGTTCTCACAACCCACACCCCAGGCCACACCCCTCCCTCCAGGCCACACCCCCTCCCAGACCACGCCTCCCCAGCCCTATGTTAAACCCTCCTTGAGTGTTTTACTCTGGCTGGAATGTGTCCCTGAACTCTGAAAATGCTTATTCCTTGCCTGCATGGAGGACAGAGGGTGTGTGTTGAAACTAGATTATTATACAAAGGTAAAATTTGCATTCATCGCCCCACCCACTTATGCCTCTGGCCCCATGTGGTTCTTGGAAGGTTGCCCAGAAGTGACTGCAGCCCTTAGGCTGAAAAAGGTTCCCACCCTTGCCCTAGATAAAAGAACTGGGTACACATACAAGCACATGCACAGATGTATGTACTCATATCCACTCACTCACTCACGCACTCATATAATATGGAAAGGGCAGAAGTAGGTGAAATTAGCACTAGAGGCCGTTGATTTAAGTTGCAGTTAATTTTTGGAATATGTTCCAATTATCAGAGCAATTAAGTAAAGGAATGTACCGCTAAGGGAGGTTGTGGGATCTGCTTCTGAGAAAAAAAAATTTATAAGCATCTTGGAGATCCTTCAGATATAGGCTATTTGTTCTGTGTCTCGTAGGTTAGATTAAATGTCCTGATGAGTCCCTTCCAAATATACAATTCTT